GGTTAAAAGCGATTTCCGTGAGATATCTGCAGAGCGCATTAACGTTTATAATAGGCGTAGTTACTATGCGTTAAACCTATAGCTTGTTAAGTACTGGTCACAGTTCTAGAATTCATTTTACTATAATATAGAAAATGTTTAATTTACCTATTTTGTTGGTCTTCTTTGACTTCGTGCTCGACAGTCGCTTGCATAATTTTTATGATATCTTTAGAACTGCTGCTGTTTTTTTTAAACGTGGTAGGTACTTCACTATGTTTTTCTCATGTGCCGTAGGCGCATTTACAGACGTACAAATCCCCATACACATCACACCCAGACCCGATATAAAAATTCGTGGATCACACTAGTTGTTGAGTACACGAATCGCACTCACAATAAGTTTACAGTCACCGTCAATTTTAATCCAAGTTCAATAATGCTAGGCAGACACGTCAAAATAATTCTAAACAAAACAATACACCATTACAACCATTCAATAAAACCTTTTGAAAAAGTAACAAATCCCTGGATTTTCGTAGCATCAACACAATTGTTTCGTATTTGTTTAAACAACGCGTGTAAATTGATTCCTTCGATATTGGTAAAGTTTGTATCAGTAAATCCTCGGAAGGTTTCGGGGTAAAGGGGAAATGTCACGACATGGGCTCATGTCCCGGATATTTGTCAATGCTTCGCTGTTTGTCAGCTAATGGTATGTAGGGTGGAAAGTTTTGAATGTGATTTAAATAAAAGATAATAATATTATATCTATCTTATGTATTGGTTCAGGTCGTAGGTAATTATAAAATGTGATTGATGTGATCTGGTGTTCCTAACTACCCCTTGCGTGGGACTATGAAATAAAAGAAAGAATTTGTTGTGATCCTTGCTTAACGTAATTTAGATTCGTGTATGCGAGCTTATGATTGTACTTGATGTATGTATGCAAATGACAAATCTTTTTTTGTGAGGGAAACATGGTCAAATTTTTTCTCCTGCCCACGGTAGGGCTAGAGTGAGTGTCAGACTCTTACTGACTAAAAACCTCCCTGTTCCTTCTCTTAATCTAGGCCGAGGCCGCGGTGCCTTATTGCGCTTACAGCCCCGTCTGTGGCGGTCTATTGACTAAATAGAGTTCATCACATTTCAATTCATTGTCATTATTGAACTAGTTAGTAAATCTGAACTGAAGTCTGCCTTTATTACTCGTAGTTGTTCACAAATTCTATTACATTTCAAAGGTCCATAGAAGATTTTATGACTTGCACGACTGTCAATTCAACAACATAAAGGGTCACACACGGAGGTGATACATCAATATAAGCTGATCTTGCATTGTCGTAACAAAACATCTGTCTTTATCAACTTAGTATCATTTAGACGCCAATCAAATGCAATTTTATTGAATGATAATGATTTGTCATCTTTAATCTTATTTAAGTGATTTATTTATTTGAATCTTATACCTTCTTCAGATGTCGATAATTCGATAACGAGGGTGTCTTGATATAGGTTCGTGTGAGGTATTTTAATAAACTTATTATGTGCTAATTTTCAGACGTCTGTGTTATGATTTGGATTTAAAAGTCATTCTGTTCCCACTTTGCTTTTCAAGAGTAGGTCTGAGATTTAACGATTGGTATTTGATGTTGTATGTGATTTTATCTACCTGCTTGGTTCTCTACTTTATTGAAGTCTTCATTAGTTCTCATAAAATATTTTTGGATAAAGAATACTTAGTTAGTAAATAGTTCAGGTTTTATATTTGATGTTGTATGTGATTTTATCTACCTGCTTGGTTCTCTACTTTATTGAAGTCTTCATTAGTTCTCATAAAATATTTTTGGATAAAGAATACTTAGTTAGTAAATAGTTCAGGTTTTATAGGCGTTATTTATTTTTTTTCTTTTTATGAGCGTTACACATATAAATATTAAGGTTCTTAACAGAGTAATTTTTTGTGAGGGGAAAGTCATCAAATGACTATCTCCCAGGTCAGGCGAGTGACAGACTCTTACTGACTAAAATCTCCCCCGATCCTTCTCCCATTTTAGACTGAGAACAAACAAAACTATAGCTTACTAAATCAGAAATTGATATACTTAGGTATAATTTCAAACTTTAGCAGTAAACTAATTACAAACTGCCTGAAATTAATCTCAACACTGTAACTTACGATACTCTCTTCAGACTTCAATAACTGCAAATACCACGATCTTGTTTACACGAAACTCAAGCGAAAGTGTTGAAAAGGGCGCAAAATTATTGCGTTAACTTCTCAAAATATCCCTCGACACGACAAAACCGCATTACGGAACCTTTGTAGGCAGTAACCGTTATAGGCGAACTTTGATCGTTGCTCCCACGGAACCCTTAATGGGTTTAATGATTAACAGTCAATAAAAGGCTAATACATACTTATTATTATAGATGTAATGGTCTTCTAACTATGTATTATAAACTTTACGTCTATAGAGATAAGGGTTAATGGGGATTTAGTTGGGATAAGTGTTATTGTATGTGCGTTTTGAATGACCGTTCATGTTTTTGGGTTTTGTTTACACTCGTTATAGCGGTTTGTAGTAATTATTTGTAAATAGCAAGTTTAGTAGTTGATACCTACTCAAAATAATAAAGCCTATTATTTCATCCACGAACTTAAACACCCAGAAACTCGAAGGAATTGCTAGTGCATTACTGAGGAATAAGGAGACGGTTTGGAGATTGGGTGTGATGTATTCGGCCTAACCTAACCTCACTTACACAATTGTTGTTTCACGCCGAAGTTCTGTAGGACTGTGGTATAAGTCTGGTCGAGCCGTGCCATTCGAGAAAGAGCATTGCTCTCCACGCACATGAATATTGAAATCTGTTTAAAACAATGTTGGAACTGAAGTTTATCGGATTTATGGTAAGGTAACATGTATTTTGGCAATAGTTTAGCCCTTTAACATTGACACCCGGTTTCTGAAAGGCTTGTCAACGCTAAAATTAACTAATCTCTTGTTAAATCTCTTGTCAATTCATCTGATTGGTTGTTAATAATTTAGTCAACAAATCAGATTTGACTTTGACAAGCGATTAAAATGATTTTAACATTGATCGGCCTTTCGGAAACCGGGTGTGTAACTCACAAAATAACTGGCGTCAAATGGCTGTAGAAAAACAAAATACTTTCCTCTGACTTTTTTTGAACACTATCAATTAACTATACATATTTGTTTACAAAAATAAATGGGTATTTTGGTTGGTTATATTATAGAAAAACCTTATTATTTGTAGCCACGAAACTCCAATAAAATTTTTCATTAGACCGTTAGACCGTTAACATGCAACACGTAAACAAAATTGGAATGGGGGTAAGCACAATAATTTATTTACTAAATAAAGATACGTCTTGGTTTAAACCTCTTGGATAATAAGACAGTATCTATCGTTAACTGTGGGTTACTTTGAAGAAAATAAAATAAAAATGATATAATGAAATGAAGAAAATAATATAAAATAAAAATAAAATAAAAATTTAAAATAGTAAGAGTGGGAGAGCCATGCTTCGGCACGAATGGGTCAGCCCGACCGGAACGATACAATACGGCCTCACAAAATACCGGCGTAAAGCAACCACAGCGCTGTGTTTCGCCATATGAGGGACGTTACCGGAGGCCCAATCCTTCCCCTCCCCCAATCCCTCCTCAATCCCTAATCCACAAAAGATCGGCAACGCACTCGTAACTCTTGTGTTGTTGCATGGGCGGCGCTGATTGCTAACCGGGTAATCCGTCCGCTCGTTAGCCGTCGTATCACATAAAAAATATTAAAAAAGAATGATATAGTACGAAGTTCATCATATCCTACTATTACTTACTTATAGTAGGGGTTTGTATTAAAACGCGAAAATATGGACAGATGGAAGTTTGTTACTTTTCAACTTAAAATCTACTGAATGGTACAGAGATCCGAATTAATTAAAGATTAATATTCCAGAGAAACATACATACATGTATGATCAGTATTAAGAGCAAGACAGAGTATAAAATAATCCTTTGTGACGATTTTGTTAAGAAAGCAATCGTCCAAAGTCAAAATCAAAATAATTTATTCCAACAAAACCATAAACAGGTACTTTTGGAACATCCAACTATAACATTATTTTAGTCTGTCAGTGAAGCTAGGTGCTCGTTCCAAAGCGTAGATTCGAATGGAGAAGAACGAGGAAGACTCCATTGTTACTCTTTATAAAGAATATATGCTTTACAAGCTCATCAATACATTATTTAATACCTATTAATCATTGTAAGTACCCGTTGCGTTGTTAGAAAAAAAAACGATGGGATCAATTCATCATAAAATTTTAAATCTTTTATTGTCTCCAACAAGGCGCTCACATATCCATACATGCAACTTAAAAGACACAACCCGTCCCACACATATGACGATCTATCTACCAAACCACAACAGTGGAAATGAGAAGGCTTTCCCAAGCCAAAGTAAAAAGGGGAAAAGAAAATGCGAAGCAATACCGAATATATGGACGTGGAGCGAAAATCAGTCGAGTCCTGTCTTTCCCTTTGATCTAACGTACTTGGTGGCATTAAAATTTACATATTTTGCCGTAACTTCTTCAGTCTATTTGTAAGCACTTTGATGTCCTTTCTATTGCGAACTGTATTCAGTGTGAATCGATCTGGTTTGATACAATGCTGTTTGTGGGATTCGATACAAATGTAGTTTTTGGAGTTACATAATATAGGTATATGTATGTCCCCGTCTGTCTGTTTTATGTACCGAGTCTTTGTTTTGCTGTGTTGTGATTTTCTCTTTGACGTCGTAAGGTGATAGTCTACAATGGAGTCTAATCGTACGCATTAGCGTGTGGGGCGTCTACGTAAAAACGTTGTATAGATATAGAAATCAATATGTGTATACATATAGTTGCTAAAAGTTGAATTCAAAAATATAACATTGTTGTTATATTTCGTTGTTGTATAGTTTATTTATAAATTTTTTACTTTAAGGCATTAAGCGAAAGACATCAAGTCTCTTTTCTCGCCCAGGACACGGCGGGAACGAGTGTCAAACTCTTGCTCATTAAAACCCTCCAGTTCCTTCTCTTGCTTGTGGCCGGGGTGACCGCACCATATTGCGCTTGCCTCGCAACTCAGGCTCAACATCTGCCCTGCTGTGCCCAAGCTGTGGTGGTCTATTGGCTTGCGACGTTCACCTGGCTCTGGTTCTGGTCGGGCCGCAAGCTCGCCGCTTGCTCGTTGTCTTTCTGAGTTGCGTAAAGTGTTATAAATGTATTCAATAAAAATGGATTGCAAAATGTGTTGGTAAGCGCATAACTCAACAACGCCTGGACCAATTTTGATAATCCTTTTTTTGTTGTGTTTGATATTGTCAGGAGAAGGTTCTTACCAAAAAAATATTAGAAAAGTAGAGAGGAAGATTAGGAAAAAGTGACGCTTTGATAGCGAGAGAATTGGACCCGGGCGAAGCGGGGGCGGGCCGCTAGTATATGAATATTTTCGTCATTTAATTCATAAAATAACGTCTGCTTCTGATCCATATTACCTTAAGTTTGCTACAGAAAGAAATCTAATAACTTTAGAAACTTTTGTATCCAACCGTTGATTAGGAGACGGTTTCATACAAACGAGGTTTGCTACAATATACGATGTAATTTGCGTAGTCTGCAGTCGCGACGCAATCAGACGCGCGTATTGTGCGCCGGTTGTGTGTTTTCCAGCCTTTATTTATATTATTTACTTTATGGATATACTCACAGATGTCGCTCTAGTCTGTGTTTGTTTATATGAGAAACGCTATTGTGTTGTTAATGAGTTTCGTTTTGACATGTATGCGTATTAATGAGTTAGCTTATAAGTACTAGATATGGTATGCGCTACCCCTCTTTTCTTTTAGTAATTATTCGTCAGGTCATGGATTGCCGAATTCTATGTAATGTGTGTTTTTTTAAGTTTTCCTAAGTTCGTCTCCTGTTGTTGAATAATACGGAATTTAGCAGGGAAAACTTAGGTATATTGTAATTATTTTTAAACTAAACATTTGTCTATTTATTTATTGGTAAGCTTAGTAACACCGCATTAGTTCACATTAGAACAGCTTAGTTTCTCCACTCACTTTTTGCTGGGGTTGCGCATCAAGCGCAATAAGGTACCGCGGCCTCGAACTGAGCTGAAGAAGGAACAGTGTGGTTTTTACTCAGTAAGAGCTTGACTCTCTCTCTCGCGTCTCCCGGCGAGAGAAGTCATTTACCGATTTGCCCCTCACAAAAAAGTACTCACTTTCACGCATCCCATACCGATGTGTTACGTCAGGACCGCATAAGCCAAATAAGAACCATCATTTAGAATATGCAGTGATGAATTAATAATCCTAAAAGGTTTGCCGTTCTGCTAATTGAAACGTTGGAAGCACAGGATTTAGAATAACGCCATCTGACGGGTGCATTTGAACGTAAGCGGTGGGTCGTTGATATTAATAAAGAGGGTTGCCAGTGCTGATATTAGGTTCCATATCAGGGAGAGTTTATTAAAGTCTGTCTGTATGTCTTAGGATAGCCTTTGGGTAGGATGCTAAGTGCTATCTTGTGTTTTAAGTGGATTGTAGCTTATATATGTAAAACTTTTAAAGGTTTTAAACTGAACGCAATATTGCTAAATACGTTATGCCTCGATCCCTTTCTAGTTTATTCAGAAACAAAAGACAGAAATACTTCTTAATGTCATTTGAAGGTACCACAATTTGTTTTAATCTTCTTCTATTTTATTAGTTTTCTTATCAAGTCTCTAGATCAAACACAAATAATTACCGCGTTTTATAACAACTTGCTCATTAAAATTCATTCTAAATTATGAGAACAAGTTGAAGTAAGTAACTCAAAAGGTGATGCAAATTTTCCGAGCCTGTGGGCTCGAATTGCAATGAAAAACAACGATATTCCCGAAAACCCTGGGCTTCAAAATACATGTTTATGTAGCTGAAATTAAAGTAGGTTTTCGAATGGATTTGGGTGTTGAAATAAATTAAAGAGAATTGAAGGTTTGCACATAGCCGAATGTTTAATGAGGAGGCAGATTTTTGTTTAATTAAGTTTGAAATAAAAGCAAAGGCAAGTTATTTGAATCACAATAAAGAAGTTTCGGTCGTTTGCGGACTTGAAGATTCTAAGCTCTGAGGCAGTTTGGTGAATTAGCAATTGTCTTTTGTTTCTTTATTCAACCTCACGCATCTGTTTTACGATTAATTTCGCTCGCTAATTAAGATTAAGAAGAATTTTAAATAAAAATTACGCCTTTTTGCACTTGTTTATTTATTTTTTCTTAAAATAGACGAAGTAAGTGTTTACTGCAATTAAAAAAAAAAAAATATAACTGGTTCAATTCGTTAAGTTTAAGTTTGACAAAGAAAAAAGCAACTTGTATTGTATATCACCGTGTAAAAAACAATAAAATTGTTGCTGTCACTGTCTTATACAAACATTCTGACGCGACAGCATCATAATTATTCCCCAGGTAACTTTTATCTTACAATTGAAAAATCAGCCCTTAATCCTAAAGAAATGTTCTTGATATTAATTAATAACGCTCCACAAACTAGACATACAAATTGAATTGCTTCAGTATATTTTGTTCCCTCAAAGCTTTCAGTAACAATGAAACACGATGCTTTGAAAGACAACTTAATAGGGTTTTTAATAGGTTTCTGCCACACAATATAAACTACTTTTTCCACTGAATTTCATTCGTATTGTTAAGCAATTATTGTACTGTTAATGTAATCTATAAATATGTATATACTTCTTTTTATTTATATTTTTGTTTGAATTAATCTGGCTTAGTTTCAGAAATATATGTTACATTCTGTATTAAGTATATCTATCACTACATAGTATAAAACATAATCGTTTTCTCTGTTCATACATATATCCCCATGTACACTTAAATTTACGCAACGGATTTAGAAGCGGTTATTTTTTAATAGATAGAATAATTATTAAAGAGTAATGTTTATATGTAAATTTAACAACATTGTTAAACAGTGGACATATCAGCACTGCACTCGTGCGAAGCCAGAGCCAGTAGCTAGAATAATATATTATTCAAGTTAGATTAATTACGTTATTTAAACATTTAATTTTATTTGAGTAGAGCGAAAAAGCTGTTTCTCAATTTCTTAAGGGATAAAACCTCTTAAAACGATCGAGATACAGAATACAAGAATACAGATTGTCAATTAAATAAATTTTAAGTAACCAAGTAATTTAATTTTTAATATAATCCTCATATACACGAACAGTGATCCGCGTTTTAAATGGAAAAAAATCTTTTTGATATTTTTCCTCAATAACGTCTCATAAAAATATTTGCCGAGCGAATCGTAATCGTATTTAGATATTTCATGGTTTTTTTCTTCGCATTTCGTAATGGGATACTCGTATTCACATAGCCGAAACGTAATGTTATTGGTTTTTTATTATTATGTTTTAGCTGACATGGCTGCTTTCCTTTTTATTGAAGGATTGACAGAGTACAAACGAATTGTACGTCTATGCTGCAATTCATCGAAGCGGACCTAAAATTTTACTAGGAATATTTCCTATCCTTCAAATTTGTGGGAGTGGGTTGAATGATTAACATATGCTTTTTATCAATATAAAACACGGACGAATCCGCGGGTGGAAACTATGTAGTTTAGCATTCTAATGAAAAAATACAAATTAATATAAAATTAATATTGAAAATAAATATCATTTCTAATAGTCTGTAACTCGATTAATGGTAGAATTATGAATACAAAGTTGTTGATTTATAAATACAAAGAATAATCCTAAAATGGAAATTTAAAAGAAAGTCATTTGCAGTAATATTTAACACACTGACACATAATGTCAGCTATGATGGTGATCATGAAAGATTTATCCACATTCTAAGCATCGATTAGCAGATAATTGTTAGAAAGTTTGCTCTCGTTACGCTTTCAGTACAGACGGCGAGATGATGCATCTGAGATGCGCACGCAATCCTTACCTTCTTTACTTATGCTTTCAGAGCCATGTTGGACAGATGCATATGTATTTGTTAATTTCTAACGCAGTAATGATAATTCATGTCTTCTTCACAGTTTGAGCATGAAATCGCCTTATTCTCTGCAATAATGAAACAAAAACAGCAACAATTTTATGTAATGTTTATTCAACATACTTAACCTAATAAATGCACGAAAGAAATATTTACAAAACAAACTCCTCTTAAAAATACGTAACCAATTAAACTAATCACAGAATTTTCATATTTATATGTAAATCGGGGGCAGGTAAGTTTTCATTGACGGTCCAGCGCGTCCTAAAGGAGGCAAAATAGATCTTAAAGGCGGCGGACTGAGGTTCCTTTTTAATCCGTCATCGTCATTTGGTTCTACGTTAGCGTAGTTATTGTTTCGATGTAAAACTTTATAATTTTTGATAACTCCACGTAGCTCTTCTTGCTGTGGCAGTACGCGCTGGTTTCGGTTAACTATTATATCGTCAGTCTCATGTTCTGGCGTATAATAGAGAATTTCTGATTTTTGCTTCATATTATTAGCTAGTTGTTTTGTCGTTGGTTTTAATTTACCAGACTCAAACTGATTTTTGGCTATGAAATTTAATATATCGACAACGTCCATCGTCTTCTTCTTTAAAGCTTTAACCTCATTGAGGGGTTTAGATTGGTATAGGTATTTGGGCTGTTTCTCGACTCTCGTATCAATCGGCTTAACTTGAAGATTTATTTTGTTATTATTTTCATCTCTTATCTTGTTATTAACGTCGGCTTCATTTTTGTTATTTCTAAATAGATTTTTTAAGAAAAGGTTCTCTTCGATTGCGTGTTCGATGTTTATTTCGGTTGTTGTTGTAGTAGGAGGCTCAGTTATAGGTTCGGTGAATCTAAATACTGGTTTGAAATCATTGTTATTTTGAGGTACAATAAAGTCAGTGAATTTTATACTAGCGCTATTTGTTGGGTGGTCAATCATTTTAGCAGTAGTCGTGGGAGGTTCATGAGTGACAGTAGTTACCGATTCGTTTTTAACTTCATGCTTTTCACTGTAACGTTCTGAATTTGTGTAGTACTCTATAGGTAAAACAGCCAATTTCATATCATGAATATTTGATGAATCACTGTTTAATATTCTGGTTCTCCTAGATTCAAAATTATTGTCATCGTAATTATAGTTTTGTGTTACCGTTTGACTTTGAGGAATAAATTTTTGTTGCGTGATAAGTGTTGGCCTAGATGTTTGGCTGCCTTCATTTTGTAACTGATTAACGTGATCATTTGAATTTGGAATATAGTTGTTTCTTGTTTCAATTGGGTTTTGATGCCAGTTAATTGGATCAATAGAAGGTGTAATTCTTTCAGTTGAGTATGATTTTTCGTCGCTGCTTACAATGTTTTCAGCCTTTGAGTTCTCCTGAGTGTAATGATATGTGCTTTCTGAATTTGGTTTGTAATCAGAATAAAAGTTATTTTCTTTTGAATCTAGATGCTGTGTCGTTCCGGTATTTTCATTTGTATTTGGCTCTAGTTGTTGCTTTATCATTGTGGTGTACTGGTCGGGAGTCATATCATTGAAATTGATAACTATGTCATCTGTGCCGGATGATCTCGATATAGAATTTTTCTCAATGTTATTATTTTGGTTACCATTGGAATTAATACCGTACTGCCACCTCCACAAAGCTTTGTTACTTTCTTGATCGGACTCTTTCATGTTCGCTTCGTAATTTACTAACTGAGGCATTGTTGATTTCTCAGTTGTGAATATTCTATTTATGGGTTCAGGTGCGTTCACAGACGGAACGTGAGCACCCTGTGAAGCCAGAAAAGTTATTTGTGGGGAAATTGTTCCACTGTTTTGTTTCGTTTGCATTTGATCTGCGAAGTTAATGGACGCTTGAACCGGAGTTTGTGAACTAGCTGCGGCTACTAAATTATTTTGTGTGTTCGACTGTTGTGAAAAACTATGCGAGAATGATTCGGGAGTTTTTCCTGTAAATAAACTACTAAGGCGCGGCGGTGAGACAGCAAACTGATGTCGTTTTTCACTTTCGCTTACTTCGTTTTCTTCTTGTTGTTCCCCATTCCATGATTTCAAATGCGGTGGTTTTTTCGATTCTTCGAGTAAGTTGTACTGAATTGCTCTGAAAATATGGAAAATATGGTATGGAATATTTTTTTATTTATTATGCCATTAAACCCGTAGAAAAAAAATCATGTTAACATTATAACATTAGTACGAACCTCTGAATAATTTCAGGAATCGGCGGTGCAACTGGCAAGTGATCACCGCTAGCTCTAAAACCATTCGCATCCGCAATATAGTGAACCGTGTATGTCTTTCCATTGTCTCCTACATAGGAGTACGATCCTTCAACAACTTGCTCGTCTTTGCCAGTACCCGCATTTTCCATGCGACTGTGTTGCACGTAATGGGTCTGATCTGCTCCTAAAGCCCTATAATAATATATCAAATTAGTTCTCTGCAAAATATAGATGTATAATAAAAGTATTAAAAAAATTACTTACTCATAACTAAAGCTCCCATCTAAATCCATTTCGTTTGATAGACGTAGAATAGGTATCGCAGTTTCTGTTGTAGAAGATATGAATACCCCAGGTTGAGGTACATATTGTGGTGGGCCTTGAAAACTAGCTGCTTTCATTTGATCCATAGAGTGATCTCGATGAAAATCCATTATATTTATACTGCGTGGTGTCATCGTTTGCGTTGCTGTACTTTGGGTGGAAGGTTCAGGACTAGTGTTAAATTGATAAGACATTTTCGTATCTATTCTATCAATGGGATGTAGAAAATGTTTCGGAGCAGGTCTCATTTCTCTTCTTTCTGCCATCTGGTTTGGCATTTTTCCAGTGTGATTATATGCGTTTCTTAAAGAAATCGACCGTGGCGTTGTCGGTTTAATTTCTTCATCATCGTCATTATCTTCGATTCTGATAGGTCTTAGTGTTGATGACATCATCACAGGAAATGGAGATGGGTATCCCATCGGAGCCTTTGTTGCGGTCGGGGGAAGATATGGGAATTGCAATTTATTTATGTTATTCATTTGAAAATATGGGTGAGGTGTGTGAGCCTCTGGGGGTAAGTAAGGATTCTTTTCAGACGTAAACATACTTGATTGAAACTGTGGTGGAAAAGTGAAATGTTCGTGTGCTATATTTTCCACTGCTAGACTTATCGTCAATATGAAAAATGGTATCTGAAAAATAATATTATGTGTTAATCGAGAGCTAACTTACGCTTTTAAACCATCCAAATAAAATCCGATTTCACTTAGACACAAACACTTTTCACTTACCAGCTTCATTTTTCTTGAAGCTGTCTATGTTTCTGATAACAATTTTCACGTCACACTATAGCACTTGTGGAAAATAGACTGGTAATGAAAATGAATTCCGCATATATTTATATACACGCGATGTGTGTCCAGGCATTCGTGAAAGAGATCGTTTGGCTAACGTTTCTCTTCTTTGACGCACGGTTTTTGCTTCGATCTTGTTTTTATCACGCATCCGACGCTGCATTGGACCAGGCCACGATTATATCTTAAGAGTAAAACCACCATTGGACGATGTCTAAGTATTAGTTAATATTGGGGGTGTTGATATTAGTCGCCTTCAGCTTTTTTATAGCAGTACCGTTCACGACAATTACCTCAGGAATATGACTGTCTCTATAACACTCGTAGAATAAGAGTTTATTTGTAGCTGATTTGATTTTACAAGATGAATGCAATGTTTAAGAAATTCAATTGAAATCCATATATGAATGAATAGAATAATGAATGCATTGTCTCACATTCTAAGTCGATTGTAATAAAATATATTTTTAAAAAGGAAAAGCACAGAAAGAACGAGTGATTCATTGATTTTAATTAATTAAAGGAATCAAAAGCCCCCGAGGCGGACGCGGAGACACTGCGGTCGATAAATTGCACGATAAATTGAAGGTTTTCTGCGGTCATCCCAAATTCGCGTGTCGTAAAGTGATGCAAGTTCTGTAATGGTCGAAGTCGAGTCAATGGCCTAAAAACCGGTTATGAAGAATTTTGGTTTAAACCTACTGGAGTAAAATTACCACCAGTAGTATTAAAATGGGTTGTTTTTTTTACCTCGTTAAAATTATGTGACTCTTGTTTTAAACTGATTTTTTTCCTAATTTGTGTACTTATGTTCTTCTTATGAGATTTCAACGCCTCCTTGATTGCTCTGCAAGGCATGATTATTTTAATTTGTGTATATTAAAACCCCAATGGACACAAGAATGACGTAATATATGACTTCCTCGAAAAACTTTGTATTTTTCTAATATCAATTATTATTTAATTTAAGTGCGCCATTGTATAAGATGTATGAAAATAAATAGTTAAGGATTTTAGAATTTATGGATTCAGGAAAATATTTAATGCGATTTGTTTATTAAATGATGTTCAATATTACGTCCTTGTTTTTTCGGGAGTTGTTGCAGGTTAATTATGAGTTTTATCTCAATATTTTTAGCTAAGGTTTTAGGGATTACCTACATTTAAAATCATAAAACAAAAATTATATACAAAACTTATTTATTGATTACCAATACATCACATATTAGGCTTTGAACATACAATACTATCACAAAACCTGTCATACCTCGATCAGTGATCGAATTCACAATTCATAATCGTGACTAAGATCACTGACTTCAATCGATCGCATCGATTTGCATCGCTTAAAATCGTTCAGAGGTAATATTATTCGTATACCTATAGAGCTAAATGTATCTGTACATTAAATTTCATCGATTCAATTAGAAAAATACGAAGTATCGATACGAAAGTAAAGCGAGTGTAGGACTTTAGGTCGTCATTACTTTTTACTGTTTAAGTGTTAAGAGAAACTTGGTCTCATGACGGTATTATCTTAATACGATTATGAGCTCAAGAAAGTTTAACGTTTATCACTTTACTTTCAACCAATGATGATCAAATATTTAAAAACGATGCAGTTTAAAGTACAGATGTTACAACAGTTCTCATTTCAAATACAAAAATAATCTCTATGGTCGTTGTTTTGATTATAAATATACCACTATCTATTTATGATTTAAATGTGGTTTTGTTGTTGTTGAGGATAGTAATTCTGTTGGGGAGGGTAGTAGGTTTGTTGAGGGGGATAGTAGTTCTGAGGAGGGTAACTGGGTTGAGGAGCATAGGTTGGCTGTTGCACAGGCGGTAGGGTCGGCTGAGGTGGCACGTAGATTGGTTTCACGGGCACCGGGGCTGGTTGAGTTGGGTAGAAGACTGCTGGTGCCTGAGTCTGAGTTGGGTAGTCGTAAAGAGGCCTGTTGTTGTCAACTTCTGGTTGCTTGTTGGGGTTGCTGTAACAATAAAGACATAGACGTTATACAAAATGACCTCAAAAAAAATAGTCGCCAAATATTTTTGAAGGTCTGACAAGGTTTTCTGGTCTTTAATTCAACTAAAGGTTTGCGCAGGAAATCCCAAATCGGTCATCTTGAGGTTGAACGATTATGTCATACTAAGTGTTATAGATGTATAAAGCGTCGACGCGTTTTATGGTTGAGATACCACATTTTTTCCTTACTAAAATTGTTACAAATTCCCTTATAATTATTTGTTTGTTGAATGTCCCTTGATATTGTAGTAGTTTTATTATTTTCGCATGTGATGTAACTAACTATAGCATAGTTATGATTTCAATTGTAAAATGGGAAAGAATTTTATACTGCATTTACATTACTATAGGTTGTAATATCAATAAAACTATGAAATACGCGAGGTATAGATACCAATAAGATTTTTACAAAAGTAAATATGAAACGGTATTCCGAAGGCATTGTCTGATTTTGTAAAGAAACAATAGATTATTTTGAATTGTGTACGTACAATTATGCGTTTCTTTCGTGTTATTTGTAAACTTTGCTTTAATCTTATCTAATGTAATAAGTACGTCACTCCTTTGATTCCTTATTGGAGTAAACAGAAAAAAACGTTTTAATTGTAGGCACCGACTTTCCTTCACTTAAATTGCGTGTACCATACAAAAGGGAACGAGTATAGTATTCTCAAAATCTGTTAAAGGTAAGTCTTTTTGTAAAATCTTATAAATAAAATAAATGTATACACTAAAACGTTTATCCAATTTAGAACCGTATTACATACTTTAAAAGGTTGATTAATACTACATTTTAATGTCTATTTAACATCGCTGACCCACCATCTATTATGCTCTATGCTAATACAAGTTTGATGTGACAAGCGGGCGGACAGTTCAAGCAGTTTCCATGTTCAAATTACGAACTTCTTTTAGTTGTACGTCATTTGTTATTTTATAACGGTATGTTCGCCATTTTTTTAAAATGGCTGCTGTCTTCTCGATTTGTAATTGAGATAATAGATGCTTGTTTAGTTTTATTTAACTGTTAGTGTTAATTAGCTTTGCCAAATTGTGTTTCTGATCTTTGTTAAATCTTTTTCTGCTAATAAGAAGTTTATTACTGAGACTGAGATGTAATCTTCATGAGTAAAAATAAATGAGTTAATTTTCTATCCGTTCATGACTTCGGAATTAAACTGATGATTTTTTTTTATTGTCATTGACAAGGCTAGGTTTATATGAAAGAAAAAGAAATGGCTAACTTGGAAAAAGTAGGATTATTACATAATTAAATTAATATTGCAAATCCTTAAAATTTTTATATCTTCTCTTTTTTTGAATATCCTAAAACGGATTAGATATGCGAATTCAGTATTTGCATTTGTTAGTAAATATCAAAAATGGAATTCGTAACGGTAAGACTAATATATTATTAGTAAAAATATTCCTATGGACTAGATTCGTGTAGAGGATTTTGCCATATAAAACTGGTTACGGTAGCGAACTGTAAATAATACCAAATCATAAAATAATGAGTCACGCTCTACTCCACATCATAAAAATCACACTTTTAATTTTTAGCACGTATTGATCAGGGGCCACTATTTACACGTTTTTTGTTAAGAATCTTTTGTCATAAACTGGGAATAACTCCACACTAACTCTCAGTCAAATTTTTTGAAACGTTCAGGAATTATGTGTATTTTTTTATTTTTTTTTTTATATTTAATAGGTCGGCAAACGAGGAAACGGATTACCTGATGGTAAGCAATCAGCGCCGCCCATGGACACTCGCAACGGAGGTGTTACGAGTGCGTTGCCGACCTTTAAGAGATTAGGGATTTGGAGATTTAGGGATTGAGGAGGGATTGGGGAAGGGGAAGGATTGGGCCTCCGGTAACCTCACTCACACGGCGAAACACAACGCAGTGGTTATTTCACGCCGGTTTTCTGTGAGGCCGTGGTATCACTCCGGTCGAGCGGACCCATTCGTGCCGAAGCATGGCTCTCCCACACTTAAATGTATTTTGTAGACCAGTTTTGTCACACCCGGAATAACAGTCTGTGGATCATACAGAGACGTGGTTCCGTGGTTGGCTAGGTACTGTGCCAACCGTGCATTCAGTTATTATAGTTAGATACGTAATAGTAGTTTACCCTATCCGGAAATCGAACCCGAAACTCATTGTGCGGCAGTCACGACTTTTATGTAATGTAGACAATCTATCTAAACAAATAAAACAGTAAAACAGTGTGTCTGTATTGTATGTATAGTATTAACATTGGATATATATTCTTGCAAAAAAGGATGATTTTGTTATCATCCTAACTGCATATGCTTGTCAAACATAATTTTAATAATATAAAAATAATAAGTACACACACAAATCTCCGAAATTAATGAAAGCATTAGAATGAAACTTTTCTATTGTATAAAGCTATAGAACAAAATAAGCCTATACAACATACGTATTGAATTTGTTTTTGAAATTGGAACGATCCTGTGAAGTTGCGGACAGAAGCTTACACTAACTGTAATATAAAAAACTACTACAACAACAATAGTGTTTACGTCAAAAAACACTTTCGTCGCGTTCTTTTCTAAAACTAACGTTTGCTTTATTTTGTCGCTACTTTTATTTGTAGCCATTTGTAACGGCTATGACAAACAACTTCAGGCTATAATTCACTCAAGAGCACGCCCTCCCTGTTCAGGAAAGGGGCCACGTCTTACATTGTAATTCAAGGAAACCGATTCGAAGAAAAAAATTGTATTTTGGTAACGCGGTTTGATTAGTATTGTGTTATTACCTATACGTTTTTGATTAATATTACCAAGCTTTGGGAATAATGTTTTTATTATTACTCACAATTGCAAATATAATATGTTTTTTTTAAAGTTTCCTAAGGTTTACAAAGTATTCAAATTCACTGATCCGAAACGCCAGTTTGTGGATCAGACAAAGAGTTGTTTCTTGTAGGAATGAAATCCTAATCTCCTCTGACAATATGCGCAGCAGCTGGTCGACCCACTACGGAATCATGTATTGGACACAACACTAAAGCATATAGCATTACTTCTTAATTTTTATCCCAAAATAAAAACTATTATTCGTGGATCAATATTTTCAATACATTGAATATGTACATAATATAACTCCAGTAATCAAGTTAGAAACTGCAGAAAACAATTCTAGTAGTAGCATTATACTTACTATGGGGGAGGAGGGGTTGGCAGATGGTCACCATACGCATGGAAGCCAGTCTTGTCAGCCCAGTAGGTGACGAGGTATTTCTTGCCATCAGCACCAACGTAGGAATACCATCCTTTCTTTACAAGACTCTCTTCAGTTTGCTTAGGGTCAGTGAAGTAACCTTCTTCTCCGACGTGAGTGCCATCAGCGATCTGGTATCTAAGGATAAGAGGATAAGGTTAAGATTGCTTTGGAACTCATACAATGATTTGAGTGGTCTCTACTTACGTTCTAAATGCATAAAGGTTGATAATGTATTAAAAAGACGTAAAAAGAAAAGAAAAAACTTCGTCTAATATATTTTTGCGACAAAAACAATAATGGCTCTAACCAAAAAGTTTACTGATGACATTTAGAACACTGTATATCTCGCCGAAACATTCGGAAGCTATGTCGTAGGTACGAAAATGATCTATGATAATGTTCCTTTATGTTCGTGTGCTACTTTTTATCAAGGCCTGCCACACTATAAAGATTGTTATCACCGCGGGATGTGCTTAGCAGTTTTTTATCCACCCTACTTATATCATCCGCTTGAGACTATACCTAAATGATCACATAAGGAGTTTATCTACAAAACAATGAAGGAACTATAACCTCGTTAGTAGTTCAATAGGTTGATCCGTTAATATATTCCTTATTTAGTCTACATGTCTGTGAAGAAGAATTTTAATATTATAAATTTAAATCCAACAACACGAGAAATCATAAAAATTATGGATCAATAAATTCAATTCGATGGGACAACGGTACTTTTTTAAAAGTTCGTCGAAGATTTCTACCTGCTGATGACGATGACGATACAGTTATTATGGGGTTAACTTACACAAAATTAGGACCTTTTTGGAGGTTTGATGACACGCACAGTTACGGTCAAGATGACCTGGGATTTTGTGAAACCTGTATGAGCGGTTGCCCGACCGTTAGGGACTGTGTCATCATAACACAGATTTTTACATAATGTTTGCATTTCGAACCGAGTTATGGTTTTCGAGGATAATGCACTCAAAATAGTAGTTTCTTTTTCGTTAATATTATTGTTTTAAGTAATTATATGGAATAGTCACTAGACGGCTTATCATTTGTGCGCGATCCGAGAACATAAGTAATAATAAACAAAAATGCGAACTTACTGTTTACGTAAGTTAATAAAAAATTTGCCTATCTTTAAGTGAAATAACAGAATATACTGTGTTTTGGAGGCTAAGCAGAATTTATAAGGAGATTTGAAACATTTTAGGACTGATTTATCTTCATGTAGGCGTTTAATGATCTCCTGAACGCAGCCTTAAGTAATTGCTGTTAAGTGGCTTACGGTATTAGGTACTTTACGGAGCTTTTACACTTGTTACAGATTATTTTGGTTTTGTCAAGATTACATTTAAGTATCGCCTTTGTAAATTATACTCTTGAGACGAGAGTTAAAGTGAGTAATGTGTGTAATCTTTGGCGTGGTTTAGAACTCTACAAAGATACTTAATGTATTTGTTTAAATAGATTAGTAATTCTTTCCTTCCTAAAAGCGACTCATACTGTTGTATGTCGCGATCTGCACTTAAAGTTGAGACTTTCATCTATGAAAGTATTTAATATTCTCAAAGAATTTACGATAAAAAAGGAGTTGGTGATTTATACTTGAACTTGAAGAAAATATTATCAACTTACTCGTATTTGTAGTGACCATTTTCACCATAATACTGCTCGTTCTTGATCACCGAAACTGGAGTGGTGGTCGTAGGAGGGTGGTAGACCGGGCTGCTCCATTGGTGATTATTGTGTTCGTAGTAATCATTCTGGACTGGTACAGATGTCTGGACGGGCTGAATGGGTTTCACGTTCCAATGAGGAGGTCTCTGGCTAGGAGGAACGTAGGAGTTATAGGAGCTAGCAGCCGCATTAAGATCTACTCCTTCTTTCATAAGCTCAATCGTCGCTGATGCTTCAGCTTCAGAGTCATTAAGAACTTCTTCCTTTTTCTTCTCCTCTGCCAGTGAGAAAGCCAAGATGGCGGCGAAGATTAGTAGCTGTGGAAGAAATTTTTTGGATTAATTTCAATTTGGTGTTTAAGTTTCTGTAAATACAATGTATCGTGAATTTATGAGACGAATTATCTTTTCGGAATCTTTGAATGCGAAATTGGAGCTGTTTAAAAATCTTGGAAGAAGATTTTATTAGAATAATTACGCTTAGGCAAAAAAAAAACAGTGATTCAGAGAGGCGCCATTTTAATTATTTATTTAAAGGTTTAATTTTTTAGGGCACAATATTTTTATTAATTAATGGATATTATTTCAGACCATGAGATTGTTCCTTAATAACATTTTTAATTTAATCTATATAGGAATTAATTGAGTTTAATCAAGTATACTAAAATTGGTACAAACTGGCTTATTCTGCGGTTTCAAATTAACCAAATTGTACGATTATTTTAAACTGTATTTAAATCTTAATTAGATAGAATATTAAGTCAAATTAGAAGATAAACGAATATCAAGTTTTTAATTTTAAGAGAGAAATTAAATTACGATTTGGCGATTAGCGCAAAAAAGTATCTAGGTACTCAATTAAAAGCTTCTACATTTTTAATATTGTTCAAGGCATATCACTGTGCTTGTAGCATTAAGTCCTCCGATATGCAATTGTTATTGAGATGTGATTTAAAAGTTTTTTAAATATTTTTGACTTCGAATTATTTTATAATTATACTATTTCGTTACACTATTTAAAAAAATAATAAAATAATTTTCTTTTAAAAATATAAAAAAATAATGGAACTTAACACAAAAGACGAACAGTATAGCCACAAATATTTAGCTTAAAAAAAATATTTTTATCACAGATTTTTTTCATAAAAAATATTTTTTTATCACAAACACTGGCACTTAACAAAATTTCCAAGGACTCACCAGCTTCATGTCTGTGTCCTTCCGATCCCCGTTCGATACTGTGGTCACAAGGGGTCGCCCCACATTTTTATAGCGAAATATCCTGCGTCCTCATGCGTTCGCACATCTCTGCGCCTGCGCACAATGACCTCGCTCTTAGATCATATGATTAATAAATGCGTTTTTGGGTTAAAATGAGATTTATCGATAAATTTATTGTTTTTTTGCATTCCAATGTTGTGAATGTGAAAATGGTAAAGAATTTTTTCCGATTACATTTTCTTTGAATTTTTTAGTGATTTCAAAGTTAACCTCCTAACGACCGTGTTTTATTTAAGTGAAAATTGTAAGAAAACTTAGCAGACTTCATTTCTATTTTGTTAAGTTATGAATGGACTAGCAAGTGCTTCATTCACAACTAGTTGTGGGCGTAGTTACGTTTATTTACTTATTTGCTTAGCCATTGACCGAAAGAGGGTAACGTGAATAGTTCTAATTGGTTTTAAGGCTTGCATCTCTATGATTCATGGTTTTTACTTTAAACTATGTGTAGGACTCAAGGTCGGACTGATTGTATTGTTAAATATATTTGTTGAACGACATGTTGTAATGCTTAGAACATTTTTAAGATTGTAGTAATGTTATATATATATATATTTTAAGTTATTTTTTTCGTTGTAAAAAATAGTTAGTTGAATTATTATACCTATATTAATGAATTACGTTTTTGCATCCATGTCTTAATCATATTTATTTATTTATTGATTTGAACTTTTGCACAAACATTTGTGTAGAAGTAAGACTTGATGCCGCAGGCATTCTCTAATATTAATAGTTTCTAATCTTTTATCGGACATAGATTTTGTCAGTGTATCTACATTAGTTTATTAACCTCTATAGTCATGAGACTATAATAATATGTTAAGCGGTCTTACTATACATACATATTACACACTAGCTTTTACCCGCGACTCCGTTCGCGTAGAATAGTGTCTTACTACAGATTTTTCGTAAAAAAATGTCTATCCTATATCCTTTCTCGAGTTGCAAACTATGTCTGTACCAAATTACTCAGAAATCACTTCAGTAGTTTAGGCGTGGAGAAAAGACAGACTGACAGAGTTACTTTAGCATTTATAATATTAGTATAGATTCCTATAGATATTAAAAAGTAACAAAATGTAACTTTGCTTTATAATCATTGTATAAAGCAATGTCGCTTTGTTCGTATCTAAATCTCTATGTATGTTTTAACCTTTAAAACTACGCAAGACGCAACGGACTTTGATGCAGTTTTCTTAATACATAGTTTGATTGAAGAGCAAGACTTATATGTATAATTAAATCCATTAAATTGTGGAGAAATTTCAGTATTGTACTCGTACGAAGCCGGAGCAGGTCGCTAGTAAATAATATATCAATATTACAAAACTACACAAATTAACAGTTTTTAATCCTGGATTATCCAAGTTACAATATCTTAACTAATTAGTGGACCAAAATTTTGATTCCTAAAGAAATAATTACCTTAGTTGTACCTGCCTTAGTACATGTATTTTATACAAGTCTAATTATCTTTATCAAGACGTGGGCGCACTTTTTGTCTTCAAACGTAAGGATTTACACAAAATTACGTACCTATTTATTTTTAAGGTATAAGGTGGGTTCACAAAAGCCACCGACTATGTTTTTCTTTGAAATAGTTCGGCAAACGAGCTTTAAATTATCTGATGGTAAGCAATCGACGCCGCCCTTGGACACCCGCAACACCTAAGGAGTTACGAGTGTGTTGCTGGCCTTTTAATAATTGGAGGTTCAGAAATTTAAGGATTGGGCCTCCGCTAACCTCAGTCACAAGGCGAAACACAAGGCTGTGGTTGTTTCACGCCGGTTTTCTGTGAAGCCGTCGTATAACTCCGGTCGAGCCGAACATGCCGTGCAAATTCTTGGCTCTCCCATACTTAAAATGTTCTTGACTGTACTTTATCTACGTCGTATTTATGCATTTTTGACTTGATACAGAGCAAATTGTACGTGTTCAGCGTATAAAGATGTCAATCCTATACAAATGTCATACATAAGCGTCTGTTTATTGCATAAAATTGTCAGGGATCGTTGAAAATCCCAAAAAGGGACATTTCGTATCCGTTTAATTCCCTGTGTCATGCGGATTTGGCTTGTAAATCTGATATTAGCATACGTAATAATGAGACAATGTTTATTTTTATGCTACACTCATATTTATGAAATAGGGAAAATTCTGGAAAACGTATTTGTCTCAGTGCTGCTAAAGCTAGACTTACGCATTACTCGATGCTTCTTTTGAATATCGTTTTTTGTCTTGAATGTATTTCTTAGTTGTCTATGTTTTTATTTCTTTCACATTTATCAAGTATGTGGGTAACTTTATTTGTAGTAAGTTTTTCTTTATGGTAAATCCCTAAACAATGATCAAATTCATTCACAGGTCGACTGCTCCCACTTCAGGACCTCCCAAGAACGTTATTGTAACAGATATAATACCTATCTTTTTTTAAACAAAATATAAGGAAAAATGGTTGAAGAAAGCGGGCGTGAAATGTGTTGGTGTTATACAAATTCTGATTAAGTTGTGGGTGATGAAAATAATTTAACAAAAAAGGAAAATTTATATTATTGAGATTCACACGTTAACCACAGAAAGTAATATTTTTTAAGGAAAGTTACCAATCTAACATATCACACCCATTTCTTTTTTTTTAATTATATAGTATAAGACTTTACTCCAAATTAAACGCCAAGACCTCCAGTACACAATCAATATTTTTTTTATTTTAAAATATTTAATATCGCTATCACAACCGTACGGTTCCGTGAGCTCCACCCGAATTCCCGCCATTTTCTCCCCGTGTTGCTAGCTGCTGCTGACAACCATAAATTCAATTTTCCCGCCCATTTTAATTATTTTTTTATGTTGTCAATTGAGAAACTCATTTTAAAAATCAAAAATATAAAATTAAATACAGGTCCAGGGTTTGAAATAATCATAAACCTTACAATAGTCAACAATATGTATATTAATAAAGTAGCGACCCTTTTTTAACGTCTCATATTATTATGCAATAAGTATTTCATAGGCAATTCCCAAAATTGTTGTTGCAATAAAAAAAAAACAGATTGAAAGGTGGTACAATCGTATGATCTAACAAAACGCATGTAGGCATGAATGTTGGCAGAATTTAGGGTATATCAAAGAATTCTTGCCACACCTTACATGGATCGGAGATACACAAAAATATGATTCACTAAACCTTTTTATAACGGTGAAACAAATGTATTAAGGAAAGAAGACAGAAGGGGTTTGTATGTTTTCATTTTCGCTCGTAAGGAACCAATTTATGTTTTAAAGTATTGTGAGTGGTGTAAATTATACTGTTTTCAGAGTAATTAAATAGTAACTTAAAATAATTTGCTTCAAAATTTAGCAACTAAATCCTAACTATTATCAGTAAGTTTAGTTGCTAAATTTTGAAACCAATTCTTTCGAAAACTTAAAATTAAGATTAATTATTTTTAAATGACGTTTTCGGCAATAATTTTTTTTATAAACATTTGGAGATTAATATTGCAGCTGTAATTAAGTTGATAAATTAAATGTTTTAATAGAGAAGTACTTGTGAATGTATTTTAAAATAAAAATAATATTGCGAATATTTGACAACGTTTTTCATAAAAACTATTGAATACCTGGACCTGTATGAAATTTCATACGAATGTATTTTATATTTTTTATAAAAATATTGTTTGAATTTGGAATGCGTATGGACTGTTGTTTTAATCCGGTGACCGGTATCCCGGAGCCGTTAGTAGAAAAACTATTCTGTAATTTTTCAATGCAGTAGATATACATATTTATTTTTCAGAATGTTTATTGGGTCATCATTGTTTCACAGATATTTAAATAAAAAATAATATAGTTTAGGTATTACTAAGTTTTTCAAAATATGGTGCAACCCGTGGGTTGAAGTTACTGACTAAAACGTTTGACCTTGACAATCCAAGGGTCATATTTAGCTCCCAACTATTAAAGGTAATTTTGGCTTGCAATTTACAAAACCGGTAAAATTGATAAAGTTACATTTTGTCAATTAGTATTTTTTCAAAATAATCATATTTGACGGCGCGTCGATTATTTAAATTGAATTTTGAAGGAGGTTTTATCACAATTCATCGGACGAGGGTACAATGAATTGTGCTCTGGCAGAACGTCAAACAGACAGTTCTGCGTGCGCATTATGGTGGAAGGCGAGCGCTGTGATTGTCATCTGAGACGGATCGCCGACGTCCGTTATTTTTGAAATTTATTCGGTCTGATTATAAAATCCTACGCCCTGCGATGGACTGTGAAGACGATGATCAGGATGTTGATGTTTGTACCAACCCCCCGGTGCCTTCATATTTATATTGTGCATAATAATATACACTTAAATACTTGCTCACATACACACACGTACTTCAATAATATTCATAAAATTAAAGCAGAATTTTCCCTCCAAACTTTGCGTTCTAAACATATTTACAACCTGCAAAACAGAAGGAGAATCACAAGGATCGGTTAAGAGAGTTCGTGGCTCTTAAGCTAATACAAATACATTATAATCAAAATAAATGTAACATTGTCATTATAATATTTTATTGAGAGTTTTCTAACACAAGCTATAAATAAATTGTCAGTCACGCAAATACAGCTAATGCTTCGTAATGAAGCATATAATTTGATTTTGTATTTATCTTCTCACTAAGTGGATTTATATCTCAACAATAAAGCAAAGGCCGTATCACCAATGAATATATCAATTTTAATGTTTTTCTTATTTCTTGATTTTGGGATGACTGACTTAATGGCGTGCCAAATATAAACTATCGATCTACTGCTCTGTTCGCGTGGAATAGTGACTTCCTGCAGATTTTTGGTATAAAAACTATCCTATGTCTTTTCTCAAGTTCCAAACTATGTCGTTTAGGAGTGAAGAAATGACAGACAGAGATACTTTCGCATTTATAATATTACTTAAGATTAGCGTGGGAGAGC